GCTAGTAATCGCTACGTATACACGAATGTTAACGGCGCCTATCGGCGATTGTTTCCGACCAGTTTACGACAGMTGACGATCGTTATGGTGCGGTGTATGGGAAGGGGAACCGATGCGCAGCGACGGACGCGTTCTGACGGTCGCTCTCTCCTGGGCCGGAGTATAAGTAATGTAAAATATAATACGAATAAATTTCTAATATAATCTTGTATGTAATATGTAAATAAAAATGTTCTGTATATTCTGATCATCTGACCTTTTTAGCGTTCCGACCACACCCCCGTCTCGAAGGTGACGGATTAGAGAGGTTCTACTGTAAATATTAAATTTATTAATTAAAAATAAATGAGCTACAATCTAACAATATTATAAAATGCTATAGGCGTATGGCAAGATTGCACAGCCAAATTAGTGCTTAGGGCTTCCAGTGGCATAATTAGGAATTTGGTTTGGGGGTGGAGGATTTTATGTTTTAGCAAAATTTGTAAGCCTCATACAGTAATTTACTCCACCAAATATAATCAGTAAAATAAAAGTTTTGGGGAGGATCTATCCCCCTCATCCCTCCTTAATTATGTCCCTGAGTGCTTCCTTATAATATATTATCCGCCATAAGTGATTAGTCGCTTCAATATTTTTAACATATTTGGTCGGAATCAATGCCGGATCTAAGTCTCAGGAGGCCTGGGTGCGACCACCAATTTGAGGTCACTTAAAAAAAAAATTTCGACAGAGCACTTAATTATTTATTAAATACATATTGAAATATTAAATAACCTAAAATCACGAAATATTAGTACCTACCTTAATTATAAGGTAAATTATTATGAAATACACATTACACTCACTATTTCCATACCTATAATACCCCTTAGATATAAAGTATTAATAATGTATGCTAGTATAACATAAATCGAGTCAATCGAAATCATTAATAATTAAAATATAAAAATGACTAATGACTGTATTCTCTATATTGTGCATTTGTGCTAAAATGGAAGGAAACAAATATAAAAAGTTTGAAATAGATCAAAAATAAAAATCAACAATATTATAAATAGTTTTTAATACTTAAATACATTTATTTCAAAAAGTTTTTTTTTTTTGATTTGGTATTAACAAAGTTATTAATTATTTGTGATATATTTATTTCATATTTTGTTCTTTCTCTTTCTATGTTTAATACTGCAATATTACGTAGTCTATTTTGACTCACAGAGTTTCTCAAATAATTTTTTATTATTTTTAATTTAGAAAAAGAACGTTCTGCTTCTGTGACTGTAATAGGTATGATTATAAATATTACACGTGCGCTTAAAACATCTGGAAATACAATGGATAAATCATTTTCAACAATATAATAGCCAAACTCTTAATAGTTTTAAGTTGATGTTTTTGTAAACTAGTTCTTAAACTTAATAATTGTCGGGTAAAATCTGTGCTGATATCATTACTATACTTTAATATGAAGTCATATGATGCATTGAAAACTTCTTTTTCAGTTTTTGATAAAAAAGAAGTAGGATTTAAATATGAAAAAATTTCAACTACTTCATGTGTTCCTTTAAATGAAGCTACATGTTGTGATAAAACAGAGTCCATAACAGGGGAAAAAATTTGAACTTTAAAATATCTTCATTAGTATTAAGTCTACGATAATCATCTATTTCATCAAAATATTTTACAGCTTGTTTTTTACKTTCGTTTATGTGACTGGTATATTCCATTTTTTACATAATTCTTTTGCTATAATTAAAATATGCTGGTAATTGTCTCTTGCCTCTAATATCTTGAGTTGATTTCACAGCCATCAGTATCATGTTTGAAGCTGCTTCCAAATCCATGTTTATATTTTGTAGCCGTTTTGATACTATACGTAAAGAACGTAGAATTGGTTCTCACATACATAGAATCAAAATAAATACAAATGTTTCCAACTTTTTTTTTTAATCCACTGGCTAATATTTTTTCTGATGTTTACTTACTAGTAAGAATAATGTGAGTCAACGATTTAAGTACATCTACGAGTATGTAACGTTCTTTCAAGGAAAATATTGCATCATGTCGAGCTTCCCACCTAGTAGGGCACACTTTTTTTAGAACCTTTGTATGTATTTTTATAGAAATATCATGTCCAAATGCTAAAAGTGCCCATCTTGGCGCACTACTAGCAAAACAATTAAAAATTGCTTGAACTGTGTCAAAAAAATTCAATACTTTACTATGACATTTAGCTGCATCAGATATTACTAAATTAATTGTGTCATTTAGCAGACTTTTAACCCTTTCTCCCAACATTTTTTAATTTTTAATATTCACCCAAATCTATGTTCAAAATTGTTTTAGATTTATAACTATGTATAGTGAACCAAAAAAATATAAAAAATTTTGAATGTTTTGCTAAATACAAGTGACTTAAGATGACATTTAGCAAACTCATCACATTTTCTCCCAACATTTTGTATTTTTAATATTCACCCAAATGTATTGTTCAAACTTGTTTTAGATGTAAAACTATGTATAATTAACCAAAAAAATATAAAAAGTATGCTTTGTTTAATACAAATGACTTTAGACGATATTTAGCAGACTTTTAACCCTTTCTCCCAAAATTTTTTAATTTTTAATATTCACCCAAATGTATTGTTCAAACTTGTTTTAGATTTAAAACTATATATAATTAACCAAAAAAATATTTAAAATGTTGAATGTTTTGTTAAATACAAATGATTTTAGACGAAGATTTTCGGACTTTTAACCCTTTTTTCCAAAATTTTTTATTTTTAATATTCACCCAAATGTATTGTTCAAACGTGTTTTAGATGTAAAACTATGCATTATTAACGATAAAAATATAAAAAGAATATTTTGTYCAACACAAATGATTTTAGACGAAGATTTTCGGACTTTTAACCCTTTCTTCCAAAATTTTTTATTTTTAGTATTTACCCAAATTTATTTTTTAAACGTGTTTCGGATGTAAAACTATGTATAATTAACCAAAAAAATATAAAAACTATGTTTTGTTCAATTCAAATGACTTAAGACGACATTTAAAAAGTCTTAATTTATTTTTAAAATAATTTTTTCCCCTCCCTTAGAAATATTTATGGGGATGCCCAGAATACCAATTGTTCTTCATTCCAATTTCTTGACGTCTCTATTAGGAACCARCTCGATGTAAGATCTCCTGATTTATGCGCACCTAATAACCTAACCTAACCTTAATTTTTTTCTGTTTGAACCGACGACGCCGCGGGAACTGCTTTCGCATTGCTTCCGCGACGCCACCATCGTTTATTGAAAGAAAACAATATTTATACATACGTGGGGGGCAGACGGGACAATACCCCGACTTACCCCCGTTCATTACAGGAYTACAATTACATTTGACAGTTACGTTTTCAATTACAATACAATTACAAGTTTTTTTCGCCTGTTGTTRTTTTGGATTGCCGACTGCAAAAGCTCCTCCTTATGGCTTCTAGAGTCGACCGAAGTCCGCCGCTCTTGTTTCTCGTTCTGTCACCGATTCCGTAATCGTCGTCCCTCTCGTGGTGCCATGATGAGGAATTGAAGAAGGCGTGGTTGGTGGAACCTAACCTTACCTTTTTTTTTTTTGTTTGCTGGTTGAACCGACGACGCCGCGGGAACTGCTTTCGCGATAATAATAATAACCTAACCTAACCTTATATATGCCTCAATCATTGGCCCAAAAATTTAACAAACTTATAATTGTTTTAATCCTAAATCATTTTGTAAATACATAGAAACACTGGAAATATAAAACAAAAGTATAGTTTGAGAAACCACATTTTGTATTGGATGATTATAGACATTTTTAGTAATTTTTTAAATAATTTACCTCATTATTAATCTCTAAGAGAATACATATAAATATTTGGTTTAATGATGATTATGCTGGATGTGGATATCATATTATTAAAAAAACAGTTTCTCTCGTGTTCAGAGATACCTCGACAACAAAAAATGTAAAATAAGAATATACCGATTTTTAAAAACGTTATACCTTTATGGAATTATACTCGTATTATATAAGATGATAAATACTATATTATTATATATATTGATGTTATAATATAAAACGTATACCGTTATCGTATACATTTTAAATCATAAWTAATATTATTGTAACAATATATTATTAATGTATGGAAACCAATTTTAATATTAGAAAAAGAAAATAACTACAAATTATGAACAATTATAAATATAACCACAATTTCTGAACGTAAAATTAAATTAAAATGACTATCTTTTTCTGTAATTATTCACAAATTGTAATACTGTAATTCACTATATTATGTTTGTTTTACTATGATATACAATTAGGTACCTAAATACATTTTTTCTTACAAATCCAGATATAAATTAAAATTATTATTTAAATTGTATGGTATGATTATCAATACAGTATTTGAACAAATAAATTWCATCTTACCATTTTATTATCTATGATATTACGAGCACATAATATGCTGAAGTTATACAAAATACAATTATTTTAGCCATAATAAACATGGTATACTAAAAATATAATTAAACATAAAATTCTAAAGCTAAGCTAAGTTATTGATACAATTTACATAGTGAATCAATTTTTAACATATTTTACAAATCTAATAATTGTCTTGCTTATTTTAATATAATATTAGGTACGGCTTTATTATTRGTGTATCATTAAACAAAAAAAAAACAAAAAAATACAAGGGAGTGYGGAACATTTAATACTACAATGATGAAACATATTGTACCTGGTTACATTTTGGTTCTCATAAAAACTTATACAATAATGTCAAATTTTATGCGAAAAACATATTTATCTTAATTATAGTTTATAATCAAACCACTTATATGGAAAAAATATATAAAATACATGTCTTAACATACATATAGGTATTGTTGAAAACATAATAATATAATATTTAGATATATTAATAAATTGATCTACATATCATTAAATACAAATATAGCTTATCTATACAAGTAAATATTTTACAGCAAATCTTACAATTTTGTAGTTAAAAATAATGAGACAAAACTTAAAAAAATGATCATGTAGAAAAAGTGGGCAATGAATGACGGTAGTGATACGATTTCATTATTGGAACGAGTGTCAAATTATTGTAGCTTTTTAAATAAAAATAAATATAAATATATAATAATACCTATAGTCCTATATATTGTATGCAATTTATGTTATTTGGAATCGAGGAAATTATGAARATAGGAGATTTCGGGACCAGTTTTTGATCACCGTTCAAAACAGAAGATAGTGTTTTTTTATAAAATTAAATGATTGTTGATAATTGATTTATGGTAGACAATATATACTATTATAATAACATATACAATATTATACTATTGAATATATTATTATAATTAATATTATTACCACTCAAAATGTGTTTGAGGAGGACAGTCTTTGGCGCTCCCACACCATTTGGTCTGCAACAATGGTGGACACTGCCGTCCTGCTCCTCTTGGGTGTTTTATCACCTCTCTACGCCTCTGCATTTCGCCGATGCCACACGATACGCTGCATGCGCTCCATTCAGACCAGACACCTAACCGGCAATCCCGGTACCCTGCATAAAAGGAATGGAAATATGAAAATACAATTTTTGTATAAAAAAATTAAAATTAAAAAAAATTAGATGTCTGTTATGTTTAGGGATTAATGTATCTTGTAAATATGTATAATTTTCCAATCAACATTGTTTTTGGTTTATACAAATGTTAACTCTTATCATTTATATTTATATTTTAGTATACTCACTACTGATTTAACAACGCACCATATCTGTATCGTATCGAAACGATCGGCCTATTTCATTATTCTCTACATATGAGTCAAAGTTAGCTCTTGAAGGAAAAGAATTTATGATTAATAGAAATAAGCAAAGTACCTATAAACAGTATGAATTTTGAGGAAGAGACCAAAAAGTTTAAGGAATAAGGAGACCAATGACGATATGTGGTGATGTGATAGGTGAAGTTGATAGCTTTGAATACTTAGGATCTTTTGCACAAAAGGACGGGGGCTTTGGCATGAATTTAAAACACATAATTAAGTGTTGGTGGCTGAAATGGAGAGAAGCGCGGGTGTTATGTGATAAGAGAATTCCAATGAGGCGGAAAGATAAATTTTACAAGAGTGTAGTGAGGTCAACCATGCTATATGGTTTGGAGTGTTGGATGGTTAGAAAAAGATTTACAGAGTTGAATGCCGTAGAATATATTGTTACGTACCTATAAAATATGTACGAGATATCACGCAATTGTGATATATAATAAGCAGGGCTATGATTTGTATGCAATAAAAAATTGTAAAATATGCAAAAATATGCATTTTAATTTCTATCTTAGATTTTATATTGACCGACATACTTTTATTAATTGTGTTTATCTTTCTCCGTCAAACTATTCAATCTTTAATCGCATACCTATTGTACCATAGGATTGTATTAATAAAAATAAAATTTTTGTTTGACAAACAAACCAAGTTTTATACTTTAATCAGTAGAGCTAGAATTAAATATGAAATATTAATATTTTTTTTTTATTAATTTGCATTTTATTAAAAAATAATTATTGCTAAGCGATTACAAAAAATATTAATATTAAATTATAAATATTAATTACGAAATATACTATAAAACATGCATTTTTCGCATTCTTATAATCGAAATATGCAATAATATTCATTTTATTCAATATATGCATTAATATGCATTTTATCCAAAATATGCAAAAACATGCAAAATAAAAACAACACCATTCATCTCATCATGAGGTGATTTGTGGACATTACTGACAAAATCAATAATCAGAAGTCGCAAAAAAAACATGCTGTTGCATACAAATCCTAGCCTTGATAATAAGTATATTAAACTATGGCTAAAACTAATAAGCCATTAACATCAAAAGCAAGCATCCTATTCAACAATAGGAACGTGGTGATATAAAATTGATTTAATTATAAAAGTGTTTTCACACGTTTCTCGAAATAAGAAAATCGATTTTGTCGAAAACTGATTATTAGTACAAATTCCCGTTTTTTTGTTACTTTTTTAAGGGTTTTCCTGACGCTTTTGAAAATTACTAGACATTTTTTACTTTTGACTCCCCAAAGTACCAACTAGTTGAATTTACTTTTCAATGAGGGGCTGAAGTCAAAAATCAAAGCATTATTCTACTCCAAAACGTGATGGCAGACACAAAAAAAAAACATACATCATTGTAAAATCAATACGTTCCTCACTATTCATCCAGGATTTAAAAAAAACGAAATTTGTAATGTATTAAATATATTTTTTTCTAATGTTGGAGTTACTATAAATAAAAATCTTAAATCATCTAGTTATAACCTTAAATCCTTCGAATATCTTAACAACAAAATAAATATGTTATACCAGATTCAATTTGTATTAATGCAATAAATAGTGTTGAATAAAACAATAAAATATTATTAATAATATAAGAATTCTTCCTTTTATCAATCATAATTATCTAATCATATTTTAATACAAAATACTAAACCTATATCCTACCCGTTATCCTATCATTGCAGATTTGACAAGTTAGATCCCTCATAGTTATGGAATTGTGCTCAACCAGTGAATAACACCATACCATTTTTGTATCTGATGCATGGTATGAACAACCGAGACAGAACGTTAATTTGAACAATTTAGTGAACATGATGCTGAAATTATGTGAAAATTAGAATTTAGTCCAAGCCCCAAGGATTCATCAAGAATGACATATTTAGTAAAGAAAAAGAGGAAACAATATATAGCTAAATAATAGTTTTAAGCCAAAGGTATGTTATGTACCAGGTACCCTGAACAATAAAATTTGATTTTATTAGAGCTCGGATAAAAAACTCACGGTATTTTGTATTGAGATATCTATAGAGTTGCAAATCTTTGTAATTTTTCTTATATATATGTATATATATTTAGGTATATACCATATGTATATGTTTCTATTTTATTTTGAAAACTATATTATAATACTACTTATACTACTACTACTACTACTACTACTACTACTATTTTGAGTTTATTAGAAATGCATTCAAGTAAAATGATCAAAAAATAATCACTAGTTCAAGAATCAGCCAGTTAGATATTTTTTTTAACTCATTAAATTAAGTTAATAGATAAATAGAATATACATATATGTAAGTATAAATTAAAATATATGTGTCAGTTAAAAAGATATATTTATCTATCCAAATTTGTTAAGTCTATGTCAAAACATAATAAACTTATATTTCCTAAAAGTATAMTCACTTAAATACAAATTTATACGATAAAAATAATACATTATATAAGGAAATGGACAAGGTATATCCAATGAAAAAAACTTATTATAAATAACTATAACATCATTCATGATACCTACTATTTCTTATTAATGTTTTTCAGTTTTTTTTTTTTTATATAAACTTTAATGTAGTTTCTATCAGGAAAAAAATGAACTTGGTGAGATTGTAAAAAATAAACTAGTTATTAAATATATAATATAATCTTATGATGGTGAAAAATTTAACTTGAAAAAAAATAGTAGAACACTAAAGGTAGGTAGTACACGGATGGCAAATCCATGGCACGCGTGCCTGAGTTGGCACGCGAAAATGTTAACTATTATATATTAATATAATAGTAAAGATTTCAACGAATTGGCATCAAGTGTTCAATAACATAAATCACATCAAAATAAATAATTAACAAAGCAATATTATTATAATTATTATTATGTACCTAAACTAACATTTTTATACTAATACATTAATTATATAATCAAATTATAATATAACAAAATATAAATAGTTTTAATATTTAATATTTAAAAAAAAATTTTCATGGCACCCTCTAAAAAAAAAAAGAAAGAAATAAAAGGTAATTTTGAGCACGCAGTGTTCAAAAGGTTTGCCATCCAAGGGCCTGGTGGTCTGGTATAGTACTATAATAATTAGTATAGTAGTTACTGATTACTCAGTTTTAGTAACTAAAAATAAATACGAATTAATCACTTGATTTTTTATGAGTTTTCTTATGCTTTTGAACATGATAGTTGTCCAAAATGCTGTTCATCAACGCTTCTTTATTATCTTTTGTTATTGATATGGATGACGTGACGTTGGAAACCGATACTTTATCATCATCAATACTGAAAAATGAACTTTAAATTATTATGTTTTTAATTACTGCAAGCAGTAATTAGTTTATTATAATAATACAATTTTAACTCAAGTTGTTTATTATATAATTTTATAATTACAATCAATTTAAGTTCACTACTAATGGTTTCTAAATTAAATCTTCGTGATATTGGTAAAGGTAGTACTAATAGAGGTTAAATCTACCACCTCCAAAATTGTTACAAACCCTCAAAAAAAAAAAAGGCAGATAAGTCGTGGATGCCGCTCTGCTGTACAGTAGGTTACAAGTGGGTTACTGTAATGGATAGAATTAAATTTGAATCTAATGATATTATATCATTGTATACGAAAAACGATTCTGAGCGAAGACGATTTATCTGTCTAGGATATATTATAGATTATTAAAAATTTTCAAATCTTAGATTTAAAAAGAACATTTTTTATGAATTTCTGGTTTAAAATAATTTGCGAATTTTCGTGATTTTCGTGATTTTTATATTTAATATTCGGCACGCAAGAAGAACATCGAAATATTCGATTAAGAGTGGTGGTAACTTGGTGGTAAATAATTGGGATGTGTACAAAGAATTTGTCATTGGTGAGCTTTCGTATAGACTACCTATTTAGGTACCTATTTATAATTCTAATGATTACAATCATTTGATGAGCCTAGATGGCGAGTATGCTGGTCACGTCTAACTTGAATGCATTAGTCGACTTTATTCAAGTCATACATTTCGTGTGTATAGATCTAATGATCTTAATGCATTTGTAGATTATGGTTTTGGTGCTATAATGTGTAATTTATTATTTTCTGACAATGGTGACGCAGGACATTATAGTGTTTTAGTTTTTGGTAATAATATGAATATTCAAAATTAATTTATGTTACCTAAAGAAATAACTGCAAACACTAATAGTAAGCGTAAAACACATTTTTAAACTGGAAGACGAGAAAGAAAATAGCATAAAGAAACTCGGAATCACTGTGTATTATTGTTTAAATTATTTTATAAATGCACTTTATCACATAATATAGTTCACGTTACTCCCTATAATTTGGGTAATTTCACATTTAAATGCGAGCATTGTCATTCGTTGCACTTTGAGTGTGAAAAAACGACTAGAGGGCATTTCAGTTTATGTTGTGGTAATGGAAAAATATCTTTACTGGAGAGTCGTTTACCTAATGAAATATTTGATTTGTGTGTTGGTGAAAATAAGTCCAAACATTTTTACTTGATAAATTACACAATGTATTATCTAACATGAATCCATATGCTAAATAGTACAAACAAATGCATGAACTAACGGTTCATGGTGGGAGTTCAACTACTATTAATATGATTATGTGATTTTATCATGAACCTAGAGAAGATATCCGTAGGGACAACGACCCAACAGTTTCTGAAATACTTGTAGCAGCAGTATTTGAATCTTCAGATGGTGCACCTCCTTCACATAGACATATATCAGTTTACCCAAAAAAAGGAGATATACAAAGAATTGATTACGACAGCATGCACTGTGACCCTATGACTTACGTTTTAATATGGCCGTACGGTGAACCAGGCTGGTATATAAATATGTAATATAATGGTAAAAGTAAAACTGCCAAAAGATGCAACATTTCCATGCGTGAATATGTAATGTATGTTTTCGAATGGCAATAAAAAGGTACTCCCCCGTGTGGTAATTTTAATCCAGTACTGAGCGCAGGCAAACTGACTCAACAACCGATCGTTGATTATTATTGTCGTATTGAAGGTGATAGACTGAAATATATTAGAAATCAGCAATCAAAATTAAGAGTAGACACATATTCTGACTTAGCAGACGCTATACGAGCAACGGCAAACGAAGCCAATTTTAGAGTGGGAAAGTTGGTCGTATTGCCTTCTTCGTTTATTGGAAGTCCTTGAAATATGGTACAGAATTACCAAGATGCCATGGCAATAGTATAAGGAAAATTGGTAAACCAGATTTGTTCATTACATTTACCTGTAATGCTTCGTGGTCAGAGATTACTACAAGCATTCATTTATATGAAACAGCAAATAACAGACCCGATATTGTTGTTCGTGTGTTTCATGCAAAAGTTAAACACTTATTAAAAATAATAAAAACAAAAAAAATATTTGGTGATGTGAAAACTTAYATTTATACAATAGAATTTCAAAAAAGAGGATTACCTCACGTTCATTTGTTAGTAGGCCTTGAGGATCATTGTGAGTTTATAGATGTTTAGGATATTGATAGAGTTGTGTCCGCAKAAATCCCTAATCCAAATCATGATAGTACATTGTATAATTTAGTAAAAAATCATAATATWCATGAACCTTGCGGGAGTCTAAATTTAAATAATGTTTGCATGGAGAATGGCAAGTGTAAAAAAGAATTTCCTAAACAGTTTTCAAGTGTTACAAAAGAAAACTACAAAGGATATCCTGTGTGTATGAGAAGAGAWAATGGCCGAACAATAAGTAAAACAGTTAACGGAAAATGTATTGATATTGATAACAGATACGTTGTCCCTAATAATCCCTTTTTGTTAAAGTATTTTGAAGCTCATATTAATGTTGAAATTTGTGCAAGTGTCCACAGTGTTAAATACTTACATAAATATATTTATAAAGGTCATGACTGCGCTAATCTCCAAGTAACTGTCGACCAAACATCAGTGAATCATAATGAAGTGACCACTTATTTAAACACCAGATACGTTGGATCATGTGAAGCAGCTTATAGAATATTTTCATACAATATGCATGAGCAATCACAAACTGTAGTACGTCTCGCCGTACATTTACCCGATCAACAACAAGTGCATTTCACCAATGATAATGCAGCAGAAGCATTAATGCACGCAGAGTTGAAAAGTACTACACTAATAGGATGGTTAAATTTAAATAACCATAAACAAACTAAAAGTTCATATAGTTATCCCGAAACACCTATGCATTATGTTTGGAATGGGAAGCAATGGAAAAAACGAGTTAAATATCAGTCAGTCATTGGCAGAATGTACCATGTATCGYCTTCTGATGGTGAACGGTATTATCTAAGATTACTTCTACTCCATGTTATTGGTGCTAAATCATTCKAAGACATTAGAACAATATAATGGTATAACATTTCCTACCTTCAAAGAGGCAGCTAAACATCGAAATTTGCTATCAGATGATTCAGAGTGGTATCGTTGTTTAAGTGAAGTTTCCATTTTTAAAATGCCAAAGAAAATTCGGCAAATGTTTGCATATATATGTATTTTTTAGAGACCTTATGACAATAACGTTTTATGGGAAACATTTAAAGACGCAATGAATGAAGACTTAATACAAGTTTCAAATGTCATTATTGCTTATGCGAAAACCTTATCAGATATTTCATTAACATTAAWATTGCATGGTCAGACATTGAAATCAATCGGTTTCCCAGAATATGATGCTGCTATTATAGACAGCGAATCAAATCAACAAGATACATTACCATTATAAATTCAACATGATTTAATTGACAGTGCAAATCAAGAACAGCGTGATATTATAAGCACCATTATRAAATGTGTGAACCTAGAAAATACAAGTGTTCCTAACGCATATTTCATTGATGGACCTGGTGGTACAGGGAAAACATTCGTCTATAAATGTCTCATTAACAATTGTATAGAAATGGGTTATGATGTAATTCCAGTTGCTTGGACTGGAATAGCAGCAATGTTGTTACCCGGATGTCACACACTACATAGCCGATTTAAATTACCTTTGATATTGACAGATACTTCAGTTTCATCATTGAAGGTAAATAGCAAAGAGGCATCAACTATTCGAAAATCAAAACTTATTATTTGGGACGAAGCGCCTATGGCAAGTGCGTGTGTGTTAATGGTTTTCAATCGATTATTAAAAGATATAATGGAAAACGACGTTTTCTTTGGTGGGAAAGTTATTGTCTTAGGAGGAGATTTTAGACAAGTTTTACCAGTTGTCCCGCATGGCTTTAGACAGCTTACAATACAAAACTGCATAAAACATTCTCCGATTTGGCCACATTTTAAAATTCTTAAACTATTTAGAAATATGAGAGTAAACCAAAATGAAATGGAATTTTCCAAGTTTTTGTTACAAATTAGAAATGGTGAATATCCACTAATAAATCCTGATTAGGACGAATATTCTATTGAAATTATCGTTATTATTAAAAAATATAATAAAAGATGTATTTGGAAATATTATTTTTAATTTAGAAATTATGTTTATTTTTTCACAATTTGCAATTCTTGCACCTAAAAAATGAACATTGTGATGAAATAAAACTAAAATATATTATAAAATATAACTCAATTGTCAATATGTTACCAGGGAAAGAAAATACGTATTTAAGTTTAAATACAGTGTCGAAAGACTGTGACGATTTTTTGTTTCCTACAGAATTTTTAGATAGTTTACATTTAAGTGGTGTACCACCGCACAGTTTGGTTCTAAAGAAAGGTACTATTGTAATACTCTTGAGAAATTTAAATGTCACCTCCAATGTAATGAATGGCACACAATTTATTGTACGAAAAATGTACAATCATTCTTTAGACTTGGAATCTATAACTGGTCATCGTATTTTATTGCCTAGAATTGATTTGATCCCGTCARATTCTGCTCTTCCCTTTTCATTCACCAAACGTCAATTTCCGATAAGAATAGCTTTTGCTATGACAATAAACAAAGCGCAGGGTCAAACATTGGATAAAGTAGGATTGTATTTACCCCAACCTATGTTTAGCCATGGTCAACTTTATGTTGCCATGTCCAGAGTTAGATCTTTTGAAAAGTTAAAAATACAAATAATACCAAACAATAAAAAAGATACAATGAATATAGTTTATAAATAAATTCTATAATAATAATAATAATACCCAAATTTGTTGAAATTCATTTGTTTATCAATTTTGTTGCTATTTATTTATTTGTTTTTTTCATTATATATTTTTCTTATACATTAATTGCACATTATTCTAACGATGTATACATGATAAATGTATTTTTGTAATTTAATTTAATGTAATAAATGTATACATGATAAATCCTTTATATTTATTTATTATATATAATTATTCAACTATTTGTTTTTTTTTACCGTAACCCGGCAGCGACGGGTAATATTCAGCTAGTTCAATTGAATACTCGAACTGTCAGACATTCCTCGATAAAATGWATAAAATTACATACCTAATAATAAACTAAATTGAATATCGTTGTAAGATTATTAMTCAGCATATTTATATATTGTATAAAAATATACTGCTAGCATAATCACAGGTAATGAATTTCACACATAAGTRAAGTATATAAGTGGTAGTATTTTTAACAGGCTACAAAGTGCACGGGTTTAGCTATATATGTAGAATAGATACATAATAACCATCACTAATAGCAACCATGTGTAGGTAAACATAAATTTCTATCGTAAATCTCAAAATGTCTGTTYGAGCACCTCTCGTAGCCTGGCCTACCACTTTTTAACTTATTTCCTTGTTATTCAAAAACCAATAACTGTAGAAACTTGAAATTAACACCAAACTTTTGTTTTATCAATTCGTATAGTTGATACAATTTTCAAACTATTACAAAATGTTTATGTTATTTWWAGTCATCTTTTTTTAGTTTTTTATTCTATAAATATCAATAAAATTTTATTTATTGGTTCAAAAAACTTGAAAAGTAAATACAAGTTCCCCATAAGTTGATATAATATAGCATTTGAAAAATATTAAAAATTTATAGACATGTAATTTTTTTTATAACCACTTAAAATTCAAATTTTGACAACATTTATTTAATTGAAAATTTACAAATGATTTAGTTTTTAAAAATTTATAAAGCGTTTAAAATGTATAGCTCGTGRTTGTAAACTTGAACGATTATAAAAATAGAAATAAAATAAAGGTTTAAATTTCGAGCACATTTAGTTCAAATAATTATTCCTTCCCGGTTATAGAAAAGTTTGGAAAAAAGCAGAATYTTGCCACAAGATAAACATTTTTTGTGTATATGATGTATATTTTTAAGAGAGTGAACCAATAATTTCGATTGTATAATTTATATATAAATAAATATAGTTTTAAAATAGCAAGGTAAATATTTCATGTTTGGAGCCAAATGGTGGATAATTATTGTGCAATTTCCCTCTAAAATCCAATACATTAAATATTGTTATGTAAGGGACGAATTTTTCGTATATAGATCTACATTGAATTGTTGTGCTCATTTTCCTCAATCATAATAAAATCGTACTTGGATTAGTAAATCGTGGGAATTCATTGAATTTGTGGACCATGATGTTCATGATTATTACCTAAAGATCTTTATCATCAATATAGAACTAAAAAACCCTAAATTCAACACTGTATATACACTATATCTAAAGTAGCCAACTTGCAGTTCACATCATATACTAGTAGTATGGGTAATTGTCGAATTCCATCCCGGGCTGCTGAAAATATCCGAATTCCGTCCCGGGGGCGAAGCGACTAGGTTCGAATTCTGTACCGGCTAATAAATATATTAACTAAGGTAATTAGATACAGTTGGCACATTGTCAAATATATGTTTTACATTTATAATCATAAGCCGAAGACCGTAACTTGACACCAGTTTGTGTGTTAGGTTTCGTCTAAATTTTTACTAGCCTACTTCAAAAAATCTAAAAAATAATAATTTCATTTTCATTTCTTTTCAGTAAAAAAAAAAAAATAAGATAATTAGACATAAGGCTGTTTTTTTTGAATTCTACATTTTTAAACATTACACCTTAGTTAGAATAGTTACTATCATAATTATAGGACGGAATTCGGACTTCAGTTTTTGAGCCATATGTGGTCCGGAACGAAATTCGGTACTAGCCGTCGTATGCGACTTAAGTTTTATATAAAAAAAAAAAACCAATATTTACTTATTAACGATAAAATATGAAAAAATTACAAAATTATAAAATTTATTTATAAAAATTTGGCTCTTACTATCATTGTATTTATACATGTGGCTAATGGACATATACATGTTGGCCACCCCTGCACTATATAGATCAGGGATGGCAAATCCATGGCACGCAAAAATGTTTACTATTATATATTAATAACATAATAGTAAAAATKTCCATATGGTAYTCRRYYGARTACCATATGGGAAGAAAAATTTGTTAAACTGAGAAATTAGTTAGAAGAAATTCAGCGTGATGGGGTGATAGGTAAATTGATCGTTAACATAGGGGACGAAATTTTGAAATTGTGGAATGAAATTCCAAAAGATTATTCCACTTTAAAAATAGTAGCATATGCTATTTTGTTTATTTTTTCTACAAATTATTCATGTGAGTCAGTATTTTCAGAAATGAATTTTATAAAATCTGATTTAAGAAATCGACTAACTGATGAATGCAGTGCAGTATGTACTTTATTAAAAGTTATTAATTATAAACTAAATATCAACGAATTGGCATCAAGTGTTCAACAACATAAATCACATCAAAATAAATAATTAGCAAAGCAATATTATTATGTACCTAAACTAACCTTTTTATACTAATACATTAATTATACAATCAAATTATAATATAACAAAATATAAATACATTTAATATTTAATATTTTTTAAAAAAATTCATGGCACCCTCTAAAAAAAAAAGAAATAAATAAAAGGTAATTTTGAGCACGCGGTGTTAAGGTTTGCCATCCCTAATATAGACAAAAACACTCATATACACATCACTGTAAAATTAATACATTTATGGTTCAGCTAAAACCTAAAATTCATTTATTTTGAAATCCATTACATTGGATTCATAAGTCCTAACTTATTAGACCAAATTGTGGAAAATGTAGTTCAGTTAACTTTTCCTTGTTCATCCTGTTTATGCAAAATGAATCAGGAAACGCGTATGGGCAGTGCAATAAAATTGTTATTCTTATATCGGGACAACCTCGGGTGATATTAACTTTAACTGACGCTCTAAAAAATTGTATTATATATTTTATAATTTAATAAAAATATTACAATAAACTAGTAAATTCCAAGCTGATATTTCTTGTATAATGGTAAAACTATACGGTAACATATTGTCATAATATTATTATAACTGTACCTATTTAGAAAATAAAATTATAAGAGATAAAAATAATAACTCACAAAATTAGCAAGTAATTCCATTTAAAGTTTTTTTTGCTAGGTATTACTACATAATATATTATTATGTTTATAATTTCTTGTAGTTTTACAAGTGTTCATAGTTAGAACAGTGTAACGTGCACAACAAATAATATTATTAGGTTAAATATTTAATGTTATGCTCACAAATTGTTACCAATATAACAGTACACAATATATAATTAAAATACTTCTTATTATATTTTATCATTTAAAAAACCAACATAAGTTATTAAACCCCTAATATCATAATTTTTCTATAATAACTATAGTTATATAACTTATAAGTAGGTACCTATTATAAGTTTAAGTAAAAGGTGACACAATTTATGCCTATATTTTATAATCGTTAGACTTTGCAAGTATACCTTTTATAGTTATTGTACTCTTGTTCTCGTCTTTGCTGTTCTATTTCAAGTTGTACTTCTCGATCGCTATCATTTTCACCATTTAAAACTTTAATCACACTCTCTTCAATTTTTACTGTAGGATCTGATGCTTGCCCTCTGCCGTTCAAAGACTGTTCATATTCTTTAATCTAAAATATTTAACGAAAAAATTACACAAATCATGAGAAACTTAGAAGATTGTAGATAAAAGCGTATTATGTCTATAACGCATGATTTATTTAATTGTTATTATTTCAAAATATTTTAACCTTTATTAAAATACTATTTTCACATAATTTGATGAGAAATTAAATTGTATATGATCTTTTTAAGTTTTTAATATTAGATTACATTAGGTTTCAATATTTTACAGACTATTTCAATGTATAAAAATCTAATTTCAAATCAATAATTATTAAGTTAGGTATAAAAGTTTAGATGAGCGGAGTTGAGTGGAAAATGGATACTGCAAAAAATATTATTTCACTATACTTTGTTTATATAAACTTTAAATACATACGATATTAATTAACTATATACACTAATAAAATTAAAATGTTGGTTGTTATTCAAAAACTTAAAAAACAAAAAGATGAAATTTTTCTACTATGAGTTGTTACAATGACATCAAATTGTTTTTAAAAAAGTTAAAAGTTTTTGAAATAATGAATGTAGACACTTGGATTGCCTTGTATATCCWAAAAAATATTGAACAATACTTTTATAAATTGAAAAGTTGCTATGGTCGGCAACCGATTGAACTGTGGATAATAGAAAGAACTGGCTGGGTGTGATGGATAGTTGCTTTTTATTCGGTATACGATGCCCTGTGGATCGGTCGGCCAGTTTGGCGCTGTAAACGTGAATCCATTGTCGCATCCCGCGTCTAATGGATCAGCCTATATCAATAATTATATTCAATTAGATATAATATAATCTACATTTAACATTTCAATATTATAACAATATTGGATCTACTTATAAATTTGTGAATATAATTGGAGAATAGTCCATTGTTTAATATCTAAAAATTTTAAAATTGAAATGATTAAAATATTACAAGGTATTGTTTTAATTAATGTTATGTTTAAGACATAATATCCATGTATAATTTTTACTGAAACAGAAAAAAATTACCTACACACTTAAACTGCAAAAAAAGGAATATTATACAAACATACTTTTTTTTCTTGTTAAATTAAAGTATACACATATTTTACATATTGTATACATTTTTTACTTCTTTTCTTTTCATTTATATTAATAATAACTAAATATTAAGTATTTTTTAAATTGTATTTGTCACACAATCTTACYAACCAAAAATAATTCAAGGTATGCTAATTATTTTTTATAAATAAATATTTTGATTTAGCACACCTTATGATTTATGAGTAATTTAAAATAAAAATCTAGATGGATACGTACCTATATTATAACCATGTATTAATATTATTATATCAAATATACAAATAATAACATAATATGTTATTATACAACATATGTACAACGTAATAATTATCATAGGTGCAATTAGGTGGGGGCTAGGGGGGCTAAATCAAAATATTTATT